TAAAAATTTATGAACAATTATGGCTACCCTATTGTTCTGAATATGCAAACTAGAAGAAACAATATAATATCAATATTCCACACTCAAATTTTCAATCAAATCAAAGAAACTATTAACAAACTTTAAATATTTTACAAGAATTATATAACTCATATAGTCCTTTTCCTCAACATAATCAAATTTTATCAACTGAGCTCACTATACAAAAACTCTCAGCTTAGCCATTATACTAGATTAAATATGGCTTTTCTACAAACTCTATTCTCTCTAACCAAATCTAGATAAATTATGACCACTCTAGTAGATTTAGATCACAGATAATTTTAAATTAGTTCTAGCTTTAGTTTAACTTTAAGTATAGCAATTTATTATCGTCTGAGCTTTAATTCTTGTATATAGTTTATTATCAGGTAGTTTCATAAAAATGCTTAACTATATTTTACTCAAATAAAGATAGAGACAAGACTTCACTTCAATCTGCAAAGGTTGAAATATAAAAAAAAAAAAATATTTGTACTACTTATTCTAAATACTTATAATTAAAAAATTTCAAAATTAAGGTCTAGTGATCTTAGTATAGTGGTTAGATTGCTAGACCACTATGCAAGAAGTCTGGAATTCAAATCCCACTATCAATGAATTTGAATAATTTCTCAGACCTTTGTACCCAACTTATGGCAAACTCTGTTTGTTTCTGAGATTGTAATTCTGTAAATTATATTGCATTAATATCATTTGAATATTAAAAGTATGATGAGGCATTTGGTGAGATATAATGTTATATGAATAAATCTTAATAGGATCTATAGTAGAGGCCTGCATGGTAGAAATCCTGAGTTAGTAAAATAGTACAGCTTTCAACAGTTATATTAACTAATACTTGATCCATAAAAAAAACTATCATCAAAAGATGTAAATTGAGTCAAGTGTATATAAATCTGTTCTATAGGAAGAATTGGTAACACCAACTTGGCTTAGTAGCTAACTGAATTAGAAGGATTTGTCTCATGAAATATCTGAGAAGATAGAATACAGAAAACTAGTAGAGAGCTACAGTAGGAACTGAGGTTGTATAAATATCTAAAAGTGCTTAAACTATGTGAATCTGTAAAATAGATATAGACCACTCTAGTAGGTATACTTCAAGGTTAACTGGCTCTATGATACCTATAATGAGTTATATACAATATATCTCAAGAGGATCTAAGCTGTTCTGGATAAATAGATCTGTAATGAGCTAGCTTGCTTAAGTGGTTAGATGTTGTGGTAATGTTAGATTGGATCTGTATAGGTTAATGAACAGAGTGTTTAAATAGGTAATTCACAGGTGGGTTACAGATATAGCAGCATAGTATAGAACCAATCAGGTGGTCTAATTGCCTGTACAGTGAACTACTTAAAATAGACAATGACTAAAGTTGTATATGTGGCTTATTGTATACTCTTTATGTAATTACAAACAGTAGAAACTATCAATAGATATCCTGTATACAATTCTAATAAAATTCTTTTGGCAATATAAGCCACCTTAATAACAAAAAAAAAAAAATTTCAAAATTAAGTTCTTATTAAACAAGCTACTTATACTTTTGAACCTTATTACAAAAAATCTATAATATATACTAATTCTATCTGTAACTATATATATTACATATTGAATACAACTTTTACTAGCTAAAATATACTAAAATTCTATATTTCTAAATCAATTAATCTAACAAACTATTTACAAATTTTCTACTAAATATAAACTTGAATTACTACTACATCGATTTCAAATATAAAATACTATATATAACCTCTTTAGGCTACAAGAACTAATTCCAAATAATATATTTATATTCTGCAATATTACTCCAAATATACTTGTTAGCTTACTTCAAAAGATATCAAACAATATATATAAACAAATTTAAACAGAAAGATGTAAAGCAATGCATCAAAATTGTTTACTAACAAATATACTAACAATCATAGCTCCTGAACACCTACTTACAAATCAAATAGCTACAATTAAATATAAAAAATAGACAACTATATTTCCTATTACAAATATATCTACATCTTCTATTGTAACACTAAATCTAGAAAAAGTCTAATAGCCTACTTTAGTAGAGTTTTGAGCTGAGGATAAACTAGTTCTAGCTATAGGTCCCTATAATTATTTCATGTAAAAACATTTTAAAACATTTTAATCAATGTAATACAAAATTGTTTGATAAAGACCGAGACCAGGCCTCACTCTATAAAAACAAAAAAAAAATTTCATTTGTGCAACCTCGTAAAGGTTCTTACGTAAAGATCTCATTGGTGCGTATTGCATGACTAAAATATATCATCTGTCTTCATATTTTGATATTTCATAATATTGTAAATATTAAAATATGCGACTAGCTTTAAATTATTATAACGAATTATGAATACTAATAGAAACAGAACAATATCTAAATTAAACAAAAAAATATTTACCTTTTTTATAAGTTCCTTGTGGCTGTTTTTTGATCTATGAAGTATTTTAAGAACATGTTTATTTTGATAATAATATTAAAGTTTATTTATTAAAATTAAAATTTTATAAAACTTTGAAAATATTTTAATAAATATTTAAATCCTATCACTATTATAGAATCTAATAAAAAAATTTTTTTTTTTGATAAAAACTAGATTCAAAAATAGAAAATTTAATTTAAAAACTTAGGTTCTTGAACTAAACTAGGTTTAATTTAGGTTCAGAACTTAGGTTCCAAAAACCTGGTTCCTAGGTTTTTAAAATAGAAAAACCAAACCTAAACCAACTTTATAATCCCTAGCTTTATATGTTATTATTGTTCGATATATCCAGTATTTATTCATTAATCCTGAACTAATTAGTCGTTATAACAAGGGTTCGGTATGTAGAGGTTCGTTATATAGAGCGGCGACTGCATTTATTATATTAATTCTTTGCCAATTAGTATTTTTATTTATGTACAATTGGAATAATTATTGTTGTAAATTACAATGTCGCATGCTAATTCGAAGAGGGATTTATTTTAAAAATTCGGTTTAAAAACTTGTCGCCTCCAAAAATTTATCATCCATGAAATAAAAGTTCATTTTGCTTGACAACTGCACATTTGTATGGGATTTAATTTAATCATAGATATTATCATTAATTGTTAAATTCAACACGTCAGACAGGATACGGGTTACACACTAATTATTAAATAACAACTTTAAGCTACAAAGTAATATATTATCATCTTTAATTCGAATAATTACTAAATAGGATTGAATTTGTATTTTTAAAAAATTTATTTTATTTTTTTTACAATTAATCTTGATAAAGGATTAAAACATCTAAAATAGAGATTTTTTTTATAAGGGAATGAATATACAGTATAATTATGTTTTAGTGATTTTTTAAAAAAATTTTATACAGATATTCGAATGGTGAAGAATATCAGATCATTAACCAATCTTTAGTGCATGAACCCCATTCAAGATCTACATTATAGCAGATAAAGAAACCAATTAAATTATTTCATATTCAGTTTTAAGTTGAAAACAAAATATATATATATATATAAAAAGACATACCAAAATTACTAGCGGGGTCACAATAACATTTACCAGAATTATGAAAATCTTTGTTAACTGGACAATGCTGAAAAGGTGGATGTGAGTATCCTATATCATTAAAGAAATGTATTTGTGATCTTTCCAGGAATAAAAGTAATGCTATTGAATGAATTGGAGCATCACCCCAACTTTTTAATGAAAATTGTAATATTAGTTAATTAATCCAACGAGTAAATTCCAAATTAATTATTAATTTTAATCTACCGTTCATAATAAAATCCCCCAGCTTGATCTAGAAAATCGAAAAATTGGAGATATTGTTCACTTCGATAAAAATTCAAATCACCAATCTCAAAATTACTCCAAAAATGGCAACTAATTTGAAAAGAATTTTTTAGAAAAATTAATAAATAAAATTTTAATATATAGTATAATATAAACATATGGGGACCCCCACAGCAAAAGAAGGCAGTGGGCAGTTTTAAAATTTGATCTTTAAATAAGTATATCTCGTGATATAGTGATCAGAATTAAATAATTTTTATATCATTAGATTTATCTCACTAAGATGAATCTAATGATATAAAAATCATTTGATTCTGATTACTAGATTACGAGATATACTTATTTAAAGATCAAAATTTAAAACTGCCCACTGCCTTCTTTTGTTGTGGGGTCCCCATATATAAATGAATAATCATGAGACACAAAACAAACCCATTATAATTAGCCATGTCATCCCGCGATATAAAATAAGCAAAATTATTATCAGCAATATGCTGAGGATATTTAAAAAGAAAATCAAGTACAGTTCTCCATAAAGTAGGAATCGTTTCAGTCATTTCTAAAAGTGCAATAGTAAACCCATAGGTAATATTGTTCTCTTTAATGTATTTAAAAGTGTCATAGTCGATATCGCATGTAAAATCAACACCTGGTTCTAATCTCCAATAATAATCAAAATTTTCTATAAGTTCATGACGAAAGAAAAAACCTGAATTGAAACGACACATGTGACGATATGATTCCGAATCTCCATACAAGATATTTCGACTACCCATATCTCTACGAGTTTCGGCGGCTCTTGCCTGGTCTATCCATGATGGATAGCCCCACATGTGTTTTGGTATTAAACCTACAAACATAAATTATCATAATAAAAATTAAAATTTTTCCCAATAATTATCTTGCTTGATATAATAGTGATCGGGTAAAATTACTTATACCAACCATAATATGTCTTAGCGTTTGTAAGGGCCCCTGTCATATCCTTAAATTCTTGAGTAAACTCTTGATCATTTAAAAACACATAAGGATAATTATACTTTTTATTCCACCTGTCTTCAAAAGATCTCATCGTTTTTCGTAATGGATGTAATTCTGAGTTTCGAACAAGAACAATTATTACTGCATTAAGCCGTGTATCATCATCATCTTGCGTAAATGCAGCATTAACTTGAGTGTTGTTAACTTGCATATTATTAGATTGAGTCTTATTAATTTGCATATCGATATCATTAAATTTAGTATTATCGTTATTAACCTGTGTATCGTTAACTTGTGAATCAATAATTTGAGTATTATTAACTTGAGATTCAATAATTTGAGTATCTTTAATTTGAGTATCTTTAATTTGAGTATCTTTAATTTGAATATCATCAGTTTTCGTATCATTAAATTGTGTTAGAATTTGAGTATCAGGCTGAGTATCGTTAACTTTATTATTATCAACTTGTTCATCATTAATTTTATCGTGATTAACTTTAGTATCATCAATTTGTGTGCTGTTGACTTGATTAAGCGTGATATCATCTTCGGTATCAATAGTTTTTGTGAGTTTTAATTGACCATTTGAAACAATACTACTATCTTCATTTGATTCATTTGATTGAAAAGCGATTTCATTCAGATCAGTGTTTAAAGGTTCAAGCAATATTGATACATCAAGAAAGTATAGAGATAATGTAAATATTAAGACAATTATAATAGCTCTTATTAATAAGGTGCGAAAATGTAAAGAAAACCATAATATCATTTCTATATTTCTATTGTATAGATTATAGTTATGACAATCAAAAAAAAAAAGAGAAAATTAGTGAATGGTTTTCGCACAGCTATTTCTACTTTTGTATAATTTCAGTGTAACGTTGTACATTTCAACGTTGCTTGTCAAATGCCAAGAGTTTAGTATTCCAAGTTCTTTCGTTCTTCATGCTTTTCTCATCTTCAAAATGTTTTACCGCAATCTCGATAATAAACATATTAGCATGTGCTCTAATTTTTCGATGAAGACTAAGGTATTAAATTACGCGTTTGTATAAATTATATATACTTTATGTACTGTGCATTTGTTTATATATAATGTTTTGCATGTAATACAATGGTCACAAAGAACAAATAAAGAATAATTTTAACTTCGTAAATACAAAAAAGGCTTTGGGTTTAATTAAACGAACATAAGTGGTCATATGCCATTTGATCGGGGAATATGTTGAATTTTTTTATAAAGAGTATGCTTACAAAAAGGGTCAAAAATTTCTTTATTAATTGGGTTTGAAAAGAGTAGTGACTTTGTAAATTTTACTTACAATCACTGCATTTAAGTCGACCAATTTAAGATTTAGTCCAAATTTCGTTAGGTCAATTTTTTGATTAAAATTTAATTGGATCAATTCTCAATTTGCAATACCGCTTTTCTTGGCAATATATTTGACACCTTATTGTACTTTAAAGCAATAATTAGCTGGGATTTACAATAATTCTTAATTTTTCTATCCGATTAAAAATTTCTTGGCCAAGTAAATTGCATTTACTATTCAATAATTATAATTAATATTTGTTGTTCTAATGCTTAGATGGACTTGGCACGCATTTCCTAAGATTAAGAATGAGCTTTTTTGCTCAAACAGTATAAAATTATTTTTGGTAGTTATTCTTAAGTCTGTTAATCGGTCCATCTGGTCTAGGACTGTTCAGACTGATAGTTCAGTCTATATTGAACACGAAAATCAAATAAATCGAAACCCAATTATCTTGCTCAATAAGGCCATATA